ATGTGTTACCAGTTTTGTGGCATGGAATCGATGCATGCAATAATGAGCATGCTTGGGGGAAAAAGCAGAAAGACAACGTCTGGCAGGTGTCAGCAAGTTACAGCACATCTCCAGTAAGGTGCTGCCGTTCCGATCTAGCAAGAATGACATCACCAGTGCAGCGTACATCAAGACGAAACGTTGAGTGGCCATGTGGTGAAGACAGGAGGTGAGAGATGGACAAAACGAACTGCTCAGTGATATCCATGCAATGTCAAACGAGCAACGGGAAGAACGACAGCAAAGGGAAAAGATCCAACTGAACGCCTATACGATGTAGACAAGCAGAGAGTATGGTACCACTGCATGCTGCAACCATGGCAAAAAAAGCTCGACGATGAAAAAGTAGCTGCTCCGTGTATCACAGCAAATAAGACATTTCGTCAGTCACTGATGATCCGGACCGCACAGATCTGAGACAATCTAACTGACACTGCTTTATCCATACATTCTGTCCCAGTGGAAACATTCTGTGCACATTCGATTGAGCTCTGCTGCGCCTTATCCGAACTGTATAAACGTTTCGAACCGGCTTCCAGGATGAAGCAACCATCCTGAAGCTCGCGGAATATCCATCAAAAATTGAAATCGCTGCCGAAAAAACAAAAACAAATACTGCCTAAAGATAGCTACGAGAGTGTTCATACTAACATGCTTCGATTTCGTTTGGTCTCGTTTAGTGGTTCACTGAGATGCCGATATTCAGGAGGCAACGATGGTTCGACGTCCATGGCAATTACGGGTCCAGAATTGTCTGCAGAACCATCGCGACAGCTGTCGCCATCAAGCGCTATACCGTAAAGCTGCTCGAGCTGTACATATACACTTAGTGGGCGATGGGCCGGCATATTGTTGCAAACCGACACCGGAACACGACGCGATTCATCCTGAAAGGTGCGTAACATCGCTTTTTTGTCCAGTGACCTTCTTCATCACAAGGAATTTCTTTCAGGCAGCAAAGAAAAACTGTACAGAAAGGCTCCATGGCGTACACTTCTCTATGGTGCCACTAAAGCTACTTTGAAAACGTACAGCTTCTATCTTCTGTGTATACCACTCGCATCGCCGAATATCATGCATGTTCATCCGTTTTTCCGGGTCTTTTTTCAACATTGCGCCAAGCAAATACTCTAACGGCTTCGACAACTGCACGCCGCGCGGCATCCGTAACGGCTGATTAGCAATATTGTCGAAGAGACGCATAATGACATCGCCCTCAAAGGGATACTCACCGCTCACCAAGTTGTATAGCGTGACCCCACAGGCCCAAATATCCACCTTTCGACCACTAAAATAAGAAATCAAATGTACACAATTTACCCTGTTTCCATCACTTTTTAGATGTATGTATTTCAGTTGTAATCGCCATATTGCTCAGCAGTGAAAATCAGACCTCACAAATTTGAAGAAGCACAGCTTTACTACTGAATTCCGCCACACGCCAAAATAAACACTCTCCCCGCCTTTTAATCAAAAAATTTTTTTTCATAAGTGAGTAGATCATGACGAAACTCAGCCAAAAAAGTTGGCATTCACCCAATAAGACTTCTGCTAACGCGGTGTCAAAGAAAAGCGCAAAAATA